GTAAGTTGAAACCTAGTTAAATTATTAATGTTTTTATATTTTTCTAGCAAGAATTCTTTAAAGTTTATTCGTTCACCACGAATAATAAGAGCGAAGGGAGAAATTTATTCTACACTATTTTTATTTTAGGATTGAATGCAATCTAAGACAGATTTGAGAAATTTGAGAGAGGCGATCGCCTCTCCCTGACCCTACCAGTATTGTGTACCATTGCTTGATGGTATCGAAGGAATAATTAGGGACATTGACCATATTGCCACTCCTTTAATAAAAATTTACTTGATTGCCACTTCTGAAAAAAAATTTGCCAAAATGCCACGCCTGAATCCCGCTGGTCTGACAAGCGGGAATGGACTGGACACGTGTCAGCGTCTGAATGGTGAACCATTCTCGCTGGGCTGCTCAGCTAGAATGACAGAATGCTGACACGTGGCAAAAGTACAGACATCCAGAGAATGCCTGTGCTTTTGCCACGTGTCAGCATTCTGTCATTCTAGCTGAGCAGCCCAGCGAGAATGGTTCACCATTCAGACGCTGACACGTGTCCAGTCCATTCCCGCTTGTCAGACCAGCGGGATTCAAGCGTGGCATTTTGACAATTTTTTTTTTCAGAAATGGCAATCAGGTAAAATTTTGCCTAAAAAGTGACAGTATAGTCATTGTCCCGAATAATTGGATAGATGAAAGCTTATAAGACCATTGTGGTTTGGAATGCTAACAAATCATCACGGTTCATTTACACAAAATGTATACCTCTTGTAGCATAGGCGCCCAAAATATCCTTTTCGGTGTTGAGTCTCTTAACTTTGACCGTCTATCGATGAATCCTCTTATAGGCTTTTAAGCTATGACTCAAAAGAGGAGAGATGCGTGTGAACACTACTCTAATTTCAGAAAGCATGATGATTTATCTTACAAAAATTGGTGTATATATATATATATATATATATATATATATATATATATATATATATATATATATATATATATATAGGGATAAAACATAACCCTAGGTTGTTTGATATGGAAATTTTCCTAGAATTCATGGAAAAGTGGAGTGGGGTGAATTTATTTCTAAAGTTTGGTATGAGGAAACTGAAAATAATTGCAGGAAAATTTTTTTCCCATCATTTTATTTTTCACATCATATTTTCAAATAAAAATACCATTTGATACATGATTTTTTTTTTTATTTTTCCCATAGCATCACTATAATTAACCCAACATTTCCGGAAAAATTTTGGATCTACCAAACAACTTTTCGTAACTTATCTCGGAAATTTTATTTCACTATATTCTCGAAAATCTTTTGTTCTCAGTAAAAAAAAAATATCTTCTCTGCCAAACTTTCCCTAAAATTGTTTAGGGCCTACTCATTTACTAAAGTAAAAAAAAAAAACTTTTAAGTGACACGAGCAAAACCCAACTATGTGTGTAATTGTTTTTCTGGAGTTAGTACTCACAAACTCCTTTGCTTTCCTTACTATCACAGAATTTTAGTAACGGATCAAATAGGTTTTGTGTTATTCTTGAATGGAAAGAAAAACCATGGGCTGTGACTATTCCATCCAGTTCATCTATATAGTTGTTTAAGAGTCATAATCTAAAACTAGAAGTCTAAACTAACCAAAAAGAGGTAGGAAAATGAATAACAGGAAACTACAAGCCGTTTGATAGTAGAGAAAGTGAAATTTCTTTACTTTGGTAGGGGGCAAAAAAAATTTGGCCATGAAAACAAGATAGGAAAAATATTATAGCAACGTTTGGTAGGAGGATTTTGAAAAAATTGAATGGGAAAAAAAGCTGACCAAGATTTGCTTTTACACATGAATAAGATGAAAATTTTTGCCATGAATATTGTGGTTAGTTTTTTTTTCCCGGTCAGTGACAAAAAAAGATAGCTTTTGTATGACAAAAATGCCTTGTATCAAAATACATTTCTCAAACCTTAGCTAATGAGCCCTAGTCTAGGTGTGGAGGGTTATTTAGTAATTTTGATACTCTTTTTCATCAATATTTTATAATCATCCAAACATAACATCAGTAAAATTCACTCAACTTTTTCTGTGAAATTTGAACTTACCAAACGCTTTTTTTTAACCTTCTCGGCCAACAAATTTTGCCACTTTTTTTTTCAGAAAATATTTGTTTCTGGTATAAAAAAAAATTCTCCTATACCAAACGCTCCTTAAAAAATATTGAAAGCGTCCAAGACTTTGAACATCAAACATGACGAAAGCATTAGATAGATAACGCTTTCTCTCTGGAAACCAAGAAAGCTTTCATAGATTAATATTTTTTAAATTACAGCAACCAACATAGGTCGGCCTCTCGTTTAAGATAAAAAAAAGAAAAGAAAAAGTACTTCACATCGTCGAAAACAAAATTTGGGTAATCTCCTACCAGAGAAGACAAGCATATTTTCCTGCTGACTTAAAAATGTTACGGGATCCATTTAATTTTTTTTCTCTTTTTTGTGTGTGGATCCCATTGCTAGTTTACGAGTGATGCTGGAGAGAAGATTGTTCTTGTTAAAGCAGACTATTAAACCCCTTAATTTTATAGCACGTTTAGTTATCCGTTTCTAGTCTAAAATTATGGTTTGGGTGAAAGTCTGTTTCTTATATCTTTTGTCCAAATTATAGTTTTGGAGTTTTGAATAGAAAAGCATGTTATTAGTTGTCATTTTTTTTTCCTTCTTTACTTAATTTTCAATATTTATGGTTAAGTACTCGTGCTGTAATTTTTCTCTCTTTACGATATGTATAAAAATACCCACAGCACGTAGAGAGAAAAAAATAATAATTCACCAAACAAAACGAGGAAGCGATGCTGGATGCTAGTGTCGTTTTCAGAGGATTTTCGGAGAGTCTTAACTGACTAAAACGGCAACGTGATAGATTGGAAAGAGCTGGAAAGCATGCGGTTATAGAAAGTCAACAAGTAGCGCCATTGTCCAAAAATAAAAAAAGATTATTAACTCACGCTAAAATTTCGTATGTATAACTTGTTTATGTGAAATTTTTTATATCTAACTCAATTTTCGTTAATAATAACTGAACTTCGTCTACACTAACTTGATGTATTGGAAGAAGGATTAAGATCATCTAACGTTTTAAAAAAAACTGTAGAAATACAAATCATGAAAAATGATTAGTATTTTATAGAAAAAATATAAACATTATAAATGTGAGTCATTGGATTGAAAATTGATATTCATGCAGCTGCTTTGTAAACCGCCGTAAGGGATCCAATTCCTTACCGATTAAGTTTTTTTTTTTTTTTTTTCAATAATTGATCGTTTAAGCTGGCACCTATATATATCACTAATCACACTATCACACTATATCTCATAAAGTTAAAAAGTAGAGAGAGATTATAGCAAGAGATAGTTTTTTAAACTGCAGTTGACAGTTCATTTCCCACTAATTCTGTCATCATAACTGCCAAAGCGGCGTGTGATATTGAACAATCTAATGTTATTATTAGTCACGAAGCTGTGACACATATCCTAAGAGTCAATTTTTTATTATTTGAAATAAAATAAAAAAAATGTTATCAAAAAAAAAAAAAAACTTAAAACTTCGTAAGAAAAACACTAACATTACATAAATATAATTTGATACACTATTATACAGAATTTTTCTAAAACCATATACCAAATTTAGATAATTATATTGTTCTCATTTAATGTTTATATTTTATATATAAGCATTATAGGTATAATGATTAACATATTCAAAATCAGTTCACACTTTTTAATTTTTTATTAAGATAAGATTATAATAATAAATGATGTCTAAAGTTAGTTACAACTGTATAGTAAAAAGTTAAGAAATACGCAACGATAATTGTAATTGGAGACGAAAAATATTTATAACTTATATTTATTTTTACTTTTGAATATTTAATAAATAGGATAAGTTATTCTGCCTACTCTTAATTTGTCTACGCATCTTTGCCTACACCTATCAACACCGTTAGATTATAATTTCATCCAATGATTAATATTTGCAGGATAAAATAAATTCTTTTATCAATTTTTTCTCCTCACTATCTCTTACCCTTTCTCTATATCGATGAAGCCAGAGACAAAGAAACACATACAATCAAAATTCCTTATTAGTTTGAATTGATTTTTTTTTCACATCTATTTGTTACGAATGTGGTAAAATAATTATGTTGAAAATGGTTGATGCCCAAGATGCCAATAGTATGACAATTATTCGAATACCAAATCCCTACCTTTCTCTCTCTTCAATGGCGCTTCAGCAACTAACTTGAGTACGTACGGAAGCTACTTGACAAGATCGTATAAGGATGAAATCAACTAATTTACCTAAGATCTATAATTAAATAATAATGTGAATTCGACATAAGTGATTAATTAGAAAACTTTGACAAAATTTGGAATAATATCAATTACGACAGGTCAAGGAATCGTTGGCGAAAGAGAAACACCTTTTAAATTTTGAATTTTCGACTCTATCCTTTATAAAATTTCAAAATTGATGGTAGGCTTGACAAAGATGATAGTCGTTCAAAAGGGTGGGAAGAGAGAGAAAGGATAAGAGGCAGTAAGGAGAAAATAATTGATGAAATGATTTATTTTATCCTACAAATCTCTATCACTAGATGAAATTAAGAGTTGGCAGAATAACGTATTTCTTTAAAAATTAATAAGACGGAGTGTTCAAAATCTTCTGTGTCGACAAAATGTCAAATATAAAAGCGACGTTGACATATTTTTTTGTCAATTGAAAACCCACTTTACATTTTTGTCAATTGAAAGCCCACTATCTGGGTTAAATGATTGGGCCTTTCAGCCCAAATAGTTCGAACCTCATTCCGCTTCGTTCAATGTTGCACCGATTCCCGTTTAGGACAACGTTCATCAATCATCAATCGTGAATTTTGAATTTGAAAACTCCCGCTCCTGTCCCCATATAAAGTTCAACTGTATTTCTTCGAGAAAGAGACGTTAGCAGAGAGCAGAGAAGCCAGAACGAAAGAAACAAGAGAATCAGAGAAATGGCCACCAACATTGGGATAATGGATTCCGCTTACTTCGTTGGCAGATCTGAGATTCTGGCTTGGATCAACTCAACTCTTCAACTCAATCTCTCCAAAGTGGAAGAGGTTCAATTTCAGATCTGATATTTTCTTCAACCTTGTTTAGGTTTTGATTGATGCTGGCTTATTGATCTATTTGGTTGGATCGTGCGACTTTCAGGCTTGTTCTGGTGCGGTTCATTGCCAGCTTCTGGATGCCACTCACCCTGGGATCGTGCCAATGCACAAGGTCAATTTCGACGCCAAGACGGAGTACGAGATGATTCAGAACTACAAGGTCCTTCAAGATGTCTTCAACAAACTCAAAATCACCAAGGTAACTCTCTCTCGCATCTCACTCGTGTCTCTGTTATCCATTTATTCCTTTGAATTTGGAAGATCCTCAATTCATCATGACTTGTTCATTGTCTTTCTCAGCACATTGAGGTCAGCAAGCTAGTGAAAGGACGACCACTGGATAACCTGGAGTTCATGCAATGGATGAAAAGATACTGCGATTCTGTCAATTCCGGATTTGTGCACAAGTAATTTAATCCCTACTGTAATTTTCATGTGTAAATGTACTGTTGCAGATTCTACCCTGGTTAAAATTTTCTGAAACCAACCTTGTTTGCGTTCAATAGTTCTCTTAGATTGAAAATTAGGTTTTATGATTGAAGTTTTGTAATCCTACAGACATATTATTAGAACTCAAACGTTTTCAGGAAATTCTACTCTTATGATATTGGTAATGAGATGATTTACAGTTTAATTGATCTGGGATGCTGAATGTTTTGAGAATGGCTATATGTGCTTCTCGTGTTATAGTTATAATCCTCTTGAAAGGAGAGAGGTATGCAAAGGAGGTAGAGAAGCGACCAAGAAATCTGCACATTCCCAATCCTCAAACAAGGGGGCTACTGCACAGAGACCTCAGTCTTCCCATAATGCTCGAAGAAATGATGTATCTACTGCAAACCCTACAAATCAGGTAGCAAAGGTCACGAGACCATCTTCTGCTGGAGGCCCTGTATTTGATGAACAGGTACTATGTTTTCACGTCAAAAAATGATCAAATGAACAATGATAGTATCAAATTAACAATGATAGTACATTCTCTTACAATGAATTCAATGCAGATAACGGAGTTGAAGTTATCCATTGATAGCCTTGAAAAGGAACGGGATTTCTACTTTGCAAAGCTGAGAGATATTGAGATACTGTGCCAGACTCCTGAGATAGAGCACTCACCAGTACTATACTCTCAAACTTTTTGCTTACATTAATGAAACCAATAATTCGTAAAAGGTAATGATCATATGTGATTGTCATTCATCACTCAGGTTGTTGCAGCAATACAGAAGATATTATATGCTACGGATGACGATGGAACAGCTGTGGCTGAAGCTCAAGCTATGGTTTCTATTGGTCAGAAGGAAATCGAGGGGTTGAGCCCCATCGCTGAGGTTTCGGAGGAGAAAAGCAGTTCAGAATCTCACAAGAGAAAGAGCATTGCCAATCTAGACTTTGACGCTGCTGGCATCACCAGTTTGTCTCCGCGACAAAGGCTTTCTGATGTTTCAGATGTTCATGGTAGCGGGTCTCCTCTTTTGACTTGTTAAAGAGGGATTGCTTTTTGTTGTTAATTCGAGTATCATCTTCGAAAACTATTTTGTTCAAACTCTTCTTGGTCACAGTAATTCCTGTTTCATATGTGAATTGCCAGGGATTTTACAATGATAAGGGGCTCTAGAAAGACCATTTTATTATGAATATGGTATATGTCAACTCGGGAAAAAGTAGCCATGATTAAGATCTCTAGCATTACAGAATTTGTAATAATTTTTTAACAATGTGTTATTTTAGAATCCAGTGAAAGTAATATCTGGCTTGTTCTTCGACTTTACCATTATTTTATTCTCAGCATTTTTAAGTGTTGATCAAATATCGTTAGCAATTTGAGAAAAATTACAAGTGGATCAAAACATGACCCACAAATGTATCTCTCCTGTGTAGGCATTATACAAATAGCCATAGTAGAACAACGCCACCTATGTAACATGACCTAACAAATGAATGTTTCTCGTTTTTATCATAAAACATACCGAAATGTTACTGGAGTATTGGGTCATCCAATGATCGGATGGGCGTGCGTGTGATAAGGTGATATGTTGTAAGTGTCCGAATGGAGGCCCTTTTCCTCCGCCTTGATGATCGTCATTCTTAGACCTGGTGTTATCACCTCCAATTCTCCTTAAAAACCGTCAAGTTTTACGCCAGACTAGGGGAGAGAGAGAGAGAGAGAGAGAGAGGAGAAACTTGAAAGAGCTTAATACTTTGTCTAAATTCGATTCCAAATCACCTTAGGGGAAGCGTTCTGTAGATTATTCACGGGGTTAACATGAATGAACAAGCAAAGAAGGTAGTATAAATCCAGCCATTTTCTCTGTATTTTTCTGTGCTTACGCTAATGAACGTGTATGAATTTTTTTGTCAGAATGAGACTATGAATGCACAAAGTGGCATGGAAAGAAAGGTGGAAACTGTGGATTATCGATCTTCCGCAGGGCAAGGTCAAGAAGAGAGGAACGTGCAGGTAATTCACCAGCCCCATTCGGCCACCAGTGGTGGCGTTCTTACTAATGCTGCTGCAGCCGTGGCGTCCACTCTACAGTCTGCCAAGGAAGCCATATCCAAAAAATAATGTAAATTTGGAATGTTCTATGATTCCAGAGCAACCAATGATAAAGTCATTTAGCCAAGGACATAGGTTTCGTTGTGTGTGAGTTTATTGTTCTTTTTCCATTGCTAGTTGTCGTAACATAGTGTAATTATTTATTCTGTATCGTGTTGATCACATAATTCCTTGTTTTTACTTTTCTCCTAGAAATGCTAATCTATCAAATTCCATCTTTCATCTTCAGCAACTGCACTATACAAATACCCATAGTAATAATGCATAAAATAAATAAATAAATAAAAGCAGTGATTTGTTGCTTCGGCATGAACCTTTGCGTCTCAGCAGAATGAAGTGGCTAAATGGGTGTGCTTAATCTGATGTCTAATAAGACATATTCGAATGCTTAGGTTTTAAGCTGACTTTTGTACCGTGCCATCCGAATCTCACATATGGGACAGAGACAATTCATATCACTTTTGCTGCCCAACTTGCGGCTGAATTTCACTCAGTGTTCTCTTCAATTCCCATGTTTTCAAATTTCAAGCTTATTATTCATTAACAAATGGCCTCAACCGAAAGTTAAACAAAGCCACCACCCTTTATTCTTTCCGAATCTTATTCTCGCTTTCTTTTATTGCGGTATTGATTCCTGGTCTTATGATTATTATATAATACACGAACCACTGATTAAATTTTGGCGTTCTCCTGCTTCTCAACAAAATACATTTTTTCAGGTAAATTATACCTTCCCCTTCTTTATCACAGATTAAACTCGGAAAAATTATTAAGTCTTTTTTTTTTTAATTTTTTTTTTCTTGAAGCAGAGGCAACAATGGGTTTGACGATGTCACGGCTTTTGAAATTGTTTTATGCAAAGAAAGAAATGAGGATTCTCATGGTGGGTCTTGATGCAGCTGGGAAAACAACAATACTCTACAAACTGAAACTTGGAGAAATCGTCACTACCATACCCACAATAGGTTCCAAATTACTCACCCTACTGTTCTGTGTTCATTTCAATTATGAGCAGTTCCTTACTCTCTCAGCACTAAATATGATGGAAATTCTACTTCGTGCTCGTTGAATTTGCGGTAGTTATATTATCATTTCCAATATCTAATATATCCAATCATCATCCATGGGTCTTTTACGCAGGTTAGGAATCTAGTTCATCAAACCACTAACTATCCTTGTACTCAGCTATAATTCCTAATTAGGCTTTGGCAATGAAGCGGATACGATTGTGTTGATACCGGGGTGTTTTTCCTTAATTCGACCACGCCTCACACTCTTAAGATGAAAACTCTAACTTCCATCGTTACAAATGTATTAAAACGGTATCGTTTTTTGGGAGGAATTTTGAGCCTTGTCTATCTTGTCTTAGATAGAGAATAACCATGATTTATCAACAACAAAAAAAAATCATATTTTGCCTATGACCCCATATTTATGATTATCTTAAATAAATTTGTGGAATATTTCATCACAATCTTAAAATTAATCTAACACTTCCTACCCAAAAATATAATTACTCTAACCCTCATAAATTAAAAAAAAATATGTTCACAATAAGAGTTAAATCAATAATAACAAGTTATGATTTACATGAATTCATTACTTAATATAAATAACCATGTAAATTTAATGTGTCATAAGTATTGAACAAATAAGATCAATCTATTTTATTCACAGTACTAGCATTTTCTTCCTTCCATTATTTAGTCATCCAACCTATGTCGCAGTTAGGTTTGTTTTTTCTTGACCGGGTGAGATTACCATGCCCAAGTATAAAACTGTTAATCGAAAGCTCTACATCTAGTGTGGATCAAGAATATGGTTGCTTATTGTTTTTCCCAATGCAAATGGGAACGTTTTGAAAAGTTATTATAAACGAAGCCCCTCAGGTTTGAGAGCACTTTCATTGCGACAGGGTAGAGATCATTGGCTCTCACGAGAGATTTTACATTATTTATTTTGAAATGAATAGTGTAAAATATTAAAGTTATTTTTTTTTTCTCTTCAGAAAAATATCAACTGATGTGACGTATTTCTATTAGTCCATTGTACCTACGACTGTAGTAGTAGTATAAAATTTTTCCTCGAGTTTATACTAGAAATAAATAAGACACATTGAAAAAATATTTATTTATTTTTTACAATGAGTTCCAAGAGAAAATGATTGAAAAATTTACCATAATTCATTTTCTCTGATGAATCAGGCTTCAATGTAGAGACTGTTGAGTACAAAAATGTCAGCTTCACTGTCTGGGATGTGGGAGGACAGGACAAGGTACTATTTGTGATTTTCTGGCCTCATCTTAATTTATTGTGGATGAAGCTTCTCTAATCTCTATTTGAAATCCGATTCTTATATATGTATTTGTCAGAGCATTACATTTTTGATAGTTTCATCAGTAAAATTATGAAAACATTCCAAGCACATGTTACTCAGAGACTACTCTGATTTGATTATATGCCAAATTCTATGTAGATTCGACCATTGTGGAGACACTACTTTCAGAATACACAAGGTCTTATCTTTGTGGTAGATAGTAATGATAGAGAAAGAATTTCAGAAGCCAGAGATGAGCTCCATAGGATGCTGAGTGAGGTCAGTAATTTTTGCATAGAATCGTAGTTAAATGCTGTTGCAATCATCTTGATAAAGCATGTGCATTGCAGGATGAACTGCGTGATGCTACACTACTGGTATTTGCCAATAAGCAAGACCTTCCAAATGCTTTCAGTGTTGCAGAAATTACAGATAGACTTGGTTTACATTCACTTCGCCAGCGTCGCTGGTAAGTCCCATTATAATTACAATAAATCATTATTCGATTTCAAAGGCATAGATTTAAAATTAAAAACTTAAATTATATCAAACAATCTACATCTATTATTTTTATATCCCCACAATTTCATGAGAATAATGTGGAATGAACTTATTATAGTTTTTGATTGGTCCAGGTACATCCAGGCAACTTGTGCCACTTCCGGTCAAGGACTCTATGAAGGGCTTGATTGGTTATCCAGTAACATATCTAGCAAGGCAAGGTGAACCAAGCTCTGAGTGCGTGTCTGATATTTTGCGGTATGAAGATTGAGACTCAAATGCAGCTGCTATACTATGCACAATATCTAGTTTTCTTATAGGCATAATCCCGAGTGTGACTTGTTTAAACTTCGAACCAACTATAATATCAATCACTGTGATATGCAATTTCTAAACGTTCAAGGCATGTAAGTATTACACTCCTGAGGAGTATTTATCTACACCCCACTACAGTATTAAATAAAGATCAGTATTGTTTGTTTATGCAAAGAGCAGCAAATGTAGACTGCTCAAGTGTAAAAGCTTTTTATCTGATCAAATTAAAGGGCAAGAATGATATTTTATTACAATGTTCAATATTTATTTAGTCTAACAATTTGCTCTCAAAATTTTTTACTGTTGCTGGAATACTACTCACCCATCGTCTCCGTTATCTAACTTATATTGCCATCTGTCTTTAACTTGTGCATCATATTTTAATCTTTACATAGTTGATTAAACATAGACTACTAATATTATGAATAAGACCTCGTTTTTGACTTCGAAATTTAATTTCTGTTTGCAGCTTTTGTACTAGGGTTGCATGGTAACCATATATTTGGATGATTCATTGCATAACCAAACTATAGTTTGTTGCAGAAGTGTTTCTTGCCACGTTCATTCCCCGAAGACTACTTATATAGCCTAATAATTAAGCCGTTAGACTATAGCTCTACAACCAAATAGCATACTAGGTAAGAAGGCAGGGACATTCTAACATTGGTAGAGTATGACTGCATAAACAAAGTAGGCTTACATAAATTTGGCAGTTTCAACCAAAATCACGAGCCACCTAATACTACGTGCATGAGCAGCATGCTCACTACTAATTGGCTTTGATGCTAGGTAGCTACTTTAATTAGATACAATTGTGCACATCGCCTGTCTCTTGGTTGTACATCAGAATCCTTTTGTACAGTCCATGCCATGGTCATATATTCATACCTTTGGTCCCTACAGCATACAACTTTGCTAAGACACGGGAGGTAAAAAACAAGCTAATAAAGTATATGGAGACTATCTTCCAAATTATACCCTCGTAGCTCCCTAAGAGAGTTCAACCATATCACAATCTTTTTTGTTTTTAGTAAGATAGGAAACCTGAAAAAGACTTTATTTTTGCCAAACTAAGAAACATTGTTCGCTAAACAACTTGTAACCAATTGACCAAGAAAATCTAAGTTTTCCTAGTTCTTCTCATAAGTCTAAAGAAAGCACTGCATACAACTACCAAATTTGAATCTGAAAGAGACTCATCATATCACTTAGAATTATTGTTGGGCAGGAATATAGCTGTCACTTTAAAAATTTCACGCCATGTATTAAAATTCATCACAACAAGGACATTATACAACTGCAACATATAGCAGACCATAATCAACTCGGTGAAAAAGCAAAGAAACAGGACCATAGGAGGAACAAAGCCACGTCCCACCCCCATATCAAAAGTTTGACTCTTTCAAACATTTCGCTTTCTGGCGACCGGTCTCCCCTGATCTTTTTGCCTTTTGGGTTCCCATTTTCTCTTGCTATGAATAGTACCTATATTGTCAACATTGCATAATTATCACTTTTTAAACATAATTGTCAGACAAGACTTCATAAAAGTTGAGAGAGAATTCATCCTTCCAAAAAACAGAGATTTCTCAATCACCTATCACCTGTATTGAGGTCAACTTCATAGCAGCTAGAAAGCTCATCTTAATCATTCTTTCCTTATATATCTTGTGCAAAATGCATTTTCTATTTTGGCCAATTTACTTATAAATTCTCAAAAACAAGCACTGTGATGAAATTCCATCTCCCAAGTCCTGACCCTTTAACTGGAAGAAGGTAATCTTCTTAGTTCTCTTTTCTAAGACAACAGTCTTGGTTTCATCATATGGACTTGCATCTTCAATTATAATATGGTAGTGACAGCAAACATTGCCTTAAATTCTCATGTTCATACTTATTTTCAAACAGGAAAAATGTGTGATCTGACTATTCGACTATTGAAACAACCATACGCTTCAAATTGCCACTTTTTTCGCCAATAGTTGACAATTGAAGGGCTATGTGCACACACACACACACACAATAGAATACAGAACTGACAGCTCAGTTTCTTAAAGAACAATTTTGAGACCAAATAGCGAGAAATTAGAGTGACTCAAATAAATCCAAATTATACATATATCGATTTGAATGTTTAGTGCCTTCGGTAAAAAACAACAAAATCCTTGACCCAGGAATTATAATCAAAGCTTTTCCATTCTCCGAGCATAGCTAAGAAGATCTTAATATCTAATTCAGACAATGAAATGGTTCAGATATAAACAGATTGAGATAACTTAGAAGTATAAATAGATTTGTACATTTTGTATTTTATGGGAAAATCGGGTCCCCTGCCTGCCATGTGACTGATTTGTCCCCCACTCAATAAGAAGAAGAATTTAAGGGAAGTAACAGAAATGTAGGCATTGATTGAAGAAACCATGAGTATCTCCTGGAGGGATAATAAAGATGACTTGTTATTGGATCCAGTTTGATCGTACAATAGATTCGTTTATTTATCTAGTGCTTATCACAAAAGAAATTTCACCCATCTTTGTTTATTAGCTAATCTCCATAGTTCCTGCACTAGCAGGAGAGAGATTGCTAAAGAAAGTAAAGAAACAAAAGAAATTTCTTGACTGTGCTTGTTGAGAAATATCATGTGTCAGATGAATAGGAATTGTACTGGAAACTTAACATAGGTAAAATTACAATTCATCTTTCTACCCAGTATCAGACCATTGTTCCACTCAAACGAAAAAGTGAAGGAATATAGCCTCTCTGCCAAGTTCATTTTCAAATGTATAGCCAGCAATGTAAAAACTAAGAACATAGTGCAGTTCATCCCAATAACATAACTCCCAGATATATATATATATATGCGGGCAAAATAAACCTACCATGTTTTTAGAGATACTAAGATAAGTCATCAACGAGGACTATTTAGAACATCAATATACACGTGATTTACTGAAGGCAACCGCAACTGCTGGTCCTGAGCTTTGCTCCTCTTAAACACTGGCTCCAATGAAAGTGAGATTGGTGATGCCACGGTCCATGAATCATTTGAGCTGTCACTACTGAAAGATGCATCAATGACACCACCTGGGCTACTTGGTTCAGATAGGCGTTTGCGTTTCTGGCAAAGATTGTAAATACCTTCATAGCATACTAATTGTTTCAGCATGAGTTTATAGCACTCATTCACTTGTTCCTGTAAGATCGCCACAAAAATTGTCCAATAATTCATCAAATCTGTAGCAGATTTGAAAATCAGGAAATACAGGGTAACAAAACAATTGCAGTTAAAGAGATATACCTCACTAATTTTGAGTAAACCCAGAAGTGTATTTCTGTATTCCGATGCATTAAATGGTTCAATCTCTTTAATAACGTGGATCATTGTAGCAGCAGCCAATATAGAAGGAAGATAACTCATAACCCTTGAATCTGAAAAGAGTAAATAAATAGCGAGACTAATTATCATCAGTAATAATAGCTTTTCATATCCCCAGATTCTCAGTTTAATATGAATGTCTTATGTCTCATTTATTAACATTAATATAACTAAAAAGAGTTGTCGTTCCATTTCTTACCCGCAATGACACATAGAATAACTCGTTCGCACCTCCCTAGGAATTCCCAATGCAAGCGGTTCTTTAAACCAAGCCTTCTAACAATGTGTTGAAAGAAGGAAATTGGGGTCACAGGGTTCATCCTCCACTGAAGAGTGGACAAAACTAGAAGTTCCATTCTCTGTATGGTCTTTGCTTCAAACACAAACTTTGACTCCTCCACCTAATCAAAACCACAAAAAAAAGGAACGTTCAAATACAAGAAACAAACAAAATGCCATATTAGCAAACACCTAAACTTCATCTCAATTTTGAAAGCATACTTGAAGGTCCAAAAGAAGTGGCACTTGGGTCTCTTCCATTTTGGCAGCCAAAGACAAACACGCAACTGCAGTAAGCTGAGTCATCCATGGCTTATCCCTCTGAAATCTTGGGCTCGTTATGAACCTATCAAAGTAGTTCACAGCAAGAACAGTGGTCAAAGCAGTGAAACCATAGAGCACTGAAACTCTTGAAATCCAGCTCACAGCATCGCGACGAGAAGCCTCAAGAAGAGTCCCAACAAAATGGGTTCCTCTCTCTTTCGAGATTAGAGAGAGAAGGTCATCGTGTTCCAAGAACAAGTCACTTTGGAGCAAAATCAAAGGTAAAGTTGAGGGCTTTATCAGTGTTGGGTCATCGTTGTTGGGCCTAGAATCTTCCTCGAAAGTGCATTGTTCTTCACAGAGAAGGAATGAGAGAGAGTGTTGTTGAGCCATCTTCTTTCTTGTTCAAAGAAGATGAGGAAGAGTTATCCTTCATTATGGGAAGGGGAAAAGAGTAAACAAAGCCATTTTCATTCTCTGCTTCACATACGTTACTCTGTTTAAGTCTAACGCAGATGAGAGTAAGATTAAGAGTCAGAATAGGAAAGACAAAAAAATTTATGAGCTGTCTTTTTCTTTTCTCCTCTTTTTTCCTTTCTTTGTCTCTCTCATTGTTCCCGCCGTTCCATATTCCTAAAAATAATTTTGAGTTTTGTTTAATGGTGCATTTTTCAAATATAATAATAATAATAACTTGTTATTTTTTAAATATTATAAATTAAGTAATTTTAGTATGTAATTTATATAAATTTATAATTTTTATTACTCAATTTCCAATGTTTAAGATAAAATTTATAATTTTAAAACAAATAAATGATATACATTTATGAAGTGAATCTCTAGTTGTAATTATATTTTCTTAAACTACGTTATAATTAATGAAAAAATTAGTAAATAAACATTATAATTTTTAATATTTATAAATTATTTGATATTTTTAAGTAATTTAAATTTACATAAATAATTTTTTTTTGGCAAGGAACAACTTATCATCAGGGTTGTAAAACCCGACTCGGGCATCGACCCGATTGGGGAACTGAGTTATTGGGTTACTGGTCGAATCGGTGGCTCACTAGTCGAATCGGTTGACCTGGATATATATAGATATGTAAAATAATATACAAATATGAACATATAAATTCAATTATATTCTCCATATCTAAAATGAATTAAACAAGGTTCGCTAAATAAGCTCAAAAACAAGAAACATAAATAAATAAAAAAGCACGCTATTACTATGTCAATTTAAATTGCAACTCAGAATCCTCATAAACATACCTCTCAATTATAACTCATATTTTCAAACGCAACTACATTAAAATGACATATGTCACATTCTCTAATTTATTATTCCGCAAATTGCTTCAGCATTGGAAACTAAAATTTGAGGTCATTGTAGAAAAGTATACTAGCAAATAAAAGTACAAAAAAAAATTAAAATGAGTTCTACATATTTTTCTGATAAAATGAAACAGTTTTGATTATTTAATTTTTTTTAAATGCATGACCCGACTGGGTCACCGATTTTGAACGGGTTTGGCCGATTTTGTCCTGATTTTGAACGGGTCGATTCATGACCGGTCCAATACTTGATCTGAACAGGTCTGATAACCGGTTCATCAGATTCCGGATCGGGACAGGTTTTACAATAGTGCTTATCATTGTTGAGCTCATAACAAATCTAGAAGAATAAGAGGGGGGGAAAATATGAATTTTCAATGTTCTTTTTTTATTTTAGTTTTTGACACATTCAATGTTCAACTAATTAAACTATTTCAAAGAAGCAGTTTATTTTTATCCTTTAACATACGTTAAAAAAGGGAATATTTTTTATCTATTCAATATTTTTTAATTTTAATTTAAAAGTTATGTTAATTGGAATTATAAAAACATCTCATGTAATTCACACAAACTAAATCCTTGCCATTTTTTTAATTCATTATTATCCTTTTTCTTTTATTTTCCAATTTCGGCGATCATGATGCCATCTCTATGAAAGCATATGCACAAGAATTGTGTATAAATAATTTCTATTAATCTAATGATATTGTAAAGTTTTTGTTTTGTACACCTTCCTTAGATTATTTGATATAATCAAAATATTTTACTTATATGGTAATATATGACCAAATAATAAAAAAAAAATAAGGTTATTATACTTCTCATGATGTTAGAACAAATTACTCAATCACTATTACGAGGAAGGTTATACTTATCATCAGTTAAGTTTACCATCAATTAAGTTTAATCGTTGATTTTCGTCAATTTAACGGTTATAATTTATTGGATGATACTTATTAATTAATTATTAATTTTTAATAAATTATAATCGTCATATTGATGAAAATCAACGATTAAAGTTTAGTGGTAATAAGTGATAAACTTAATTGGTAATAAGTAGAGTAAATATCATTTTCGGTCCTCAGCAAATTTTACGAGGTCTGCTATAGTCCCTAGCAACTAAAAAAGCTATTCGTGATTCCTAAGAAATTCAAAGTGGACCAATTTTAGTCCTTTTGAGGGATTAATGTGAGTCTTTTTTTAATCTGTGAAGGACCACAATTTTAACTAAATGGATCCATTTTGAATTTCTTAATCACCACGAATAGCCTTTTCATTTGCTAGGTACTAAAGCGGGTATTATAAAATTTGTTGAAGATCAAAAAAGGTATTCACTCTAGTAAGTGTAACCTTCCTCTACTATTATTGTTTGCAAAAACCACACGTATTTTTTTAATTATTTACAAGTGCAAATAGTATAAAAGGCATATATAAAGTATGGGAACTAAGTAGTGTTTTTTTCAATAAAAGAACATTAAATTGTGAAAATAATAACAAAAGTATAATTTTTAAAGAAATATATTAAGTGAATGAGTTAAGTGTAATCTATTTGTACATATTAAAGTCAGTGACTAAAATTTTATTAAAAAAGACACGTATTATTCTCAATCTCTCTTAGTTTAAATTTATTTATTTTTAAATTAACTATGCATTATAATTTTAAATATTTTATCTTTTGATCTATGTTTTTTATTTGAATTAATTATATATATATATTCATTTAATATTTATAAATTTGTTTTCTTTTAAACATATGTTTACATTTATTTATATTTTACATGTATTTAAAAATATTTGTATAATTACACAAGGAAGAATAATGTTAACACCACACTGTCTGACTATGTTGCACCGACACCGACATGAGATACGGGATACGACACGACACTCCGACATGTTAATTCTAAAAAATGTTAAATTTCGACACGTTAGGACACGTTTTGATATTATATAATATTTTTAATTTATGTAGTGTATATTATATTTAGTATTCAATAATTTAACAAAAACATAAAGCTAAACTTATAATACCTATCAATTTTGTAAAGAAACATAATATATTCCATTTTTTTTATAAAATCGTAATCGTAATAGAGCGAATGTAATAGTTGGAACTCAAAATGCAACGTAACATAACCTTTAAATCTTTTTTGAGTCTTTGCAACGAGTATTGGAGTGTCGATAAGTGTCAGACACGACACGTCAGGATTTTTGAAGTATCGGTGCTTCATAGTTTGATACTCTGACTCACTTTTTGGAGCACATTTTATAGAGAAAAGACGCATGTTACTTGCTAACACCTACATAAAATTGACTCAATAACAAAAAAAAATGTTAAATATATATAATTTTATTGATATCTCTTGTATTTTTAACAAATTTTCTAATACAATCTTTATTATTAACTAAAGTATACAAGAACTTTTTCTAAGTGAAAAATATATTACAGAATATGTTGCTAACTTTTCTTAAAACATGTATGTACAAGAGTAGGAGCATGATGTTGTTGGTCGGAACGTGCTTTACACTCGCCGAGGGGAGGTGACGCGGGTAAATGCGCAACGTATTGAGAAAGTAGAAGCGTTGACTGTGGTGAACGGGAAGGTGTCAGCTTCTGACTTAGTAAAATAAAAAAAAATTGAATAAAAAAGAAAAAGAAACGTGCGATTATCGTATAGCACAGCACAGGCATGTTTCACTTTTACAACTGTTATTATTTTTTACATAATAAAAAATAAGTTATTTCGTAAGTGATACCATCACTCGCGGGTGACACCCGCTTCACGTCGACCAATAAACGCAGTATCTGGTCGACCAGATGCTTGTACCCATATTATTTATTTATTTTATGATTGGTTTGATGTTTGTCGTTTTTTTTTTAAAATATTTTAATTGGTTATTGTTTTCTTACTAATCTGATTTAGGATGAATTATGGGAATAAAATTTTAAATTTCTCTCAAAAATAATACTGGAAATAATTAAACACATGCTCTCATCCCATCCTTACTTGCTATTTTGCTAAGTTCTTTATCGCCGATTGAGCTACCATCACTTTGTGTTTTTATTCTTTTAAAAAACATATAATTATATAATTTTAACTGAGAGAAAATATATATAATAAAAATTATGGAAGAAAAAATAAATGATAATTTAATTTAAAATTTAAATAAAAACACTAATTTTAATTAAAAATGACCATCATTTAAAAGGATGAACATTTTTCTATTTTTATGATTTGTTAATAATAAAAAAAATCGTCAACCAGATTGCCTCCCAGTTTTTTAATCTAATAATTATATTTGATTTTAAATTCAAGATAAAATTTAAAAGAAATTTTATTTATAAAAAAATGTGTATAATAAATTAACAAATTTAAATGAAAATAAGTTAAAAATCACATTTTATTTTTTATGTAGAATACGTTAAAAAATTAAACTGCTCTAAAAAGAATGTAAAATTTAAAGTGATTTTGTATATAAGGTAAGTAAGTAATGATATATTTTATTCTTAATTTAATATAAATTATATTGTTACCTCGTTTCACTAAAGAAAGATATTTTTGACCTGCTCACTTTAAAAATATCATTATAGAAAAAAAAAATTAACATACAGAAGCAGATGTGAAACAATTTTTCTTCATATTTTTTTCTTTTTAATTTAATATCGGCTTAGGACGTTAAGTTAATGTTTAGACAAATAAAAAAATAGTTATTATGTAGAGAAAAATATTTGTCCTTTAAAATGACATAACTTGTGTCATTGTACTTTCACAAAGAGGTGAGACCCACGTCTTTTTTTTTTTTGTCTATTCCCTCTTTCTCATGATATATCTCTTTCTCTCACTTAAAATAACATAGTTTTATATTCTTTAAAATAACACATACTTTTTTCTATTATGTGTGGCTAAGTTATGAAATTTTAGTACTAAGAATCTAAAAATAAGGGATGTTTTATAGTATTCTGAAATAAATTCTATCAATTTAAATACATTATCATTTCATGCAAAATGTATTGATTTAATTCAATAAACTTTATTTGTGATAAAAAAAAT